GATCAGGGAGATGGCCATCTCACAAGGAATAAGGTAAGCCCCTGGAATTGCCGTGTCATAGCCCATTATTGATCCAGAGCTTGCCCCATTTGGACCTGGCAGACACCAAACCCTGGGCTGCCACACATGGCTCCAAAGGAGGAGGGAAACTCAGTGATCTGCAACCTCTTATATAAGAGTTGCACCCAAGAAAACTGAAAAGGGAGAAAAGATTGCAAGGCATACATGTGCCCAGGAAAATTCCTACTTGCTTCCTAGGGCATCTTATCATTTAGCGCCCATCTGGAATACCCAGCCTCTCACTGTCTTTAGAAGGTCATCATGGTTGCTTTGGAACTGGAACTGATCCATAGATGTGGCTGACACCTGATTTTTCCTAGCCCCAATCTCATATATCTTAGGAAATCAAACAATCTTCTAGAAGAAAATTCATATCTAGAAATTTTCTAGAAGAAATTTTTCTAGAAGAAAATTCGTAAGCAATTTTCTAGAAGAAAATTCGTAAGCAATTTTCTAGAAGAAAATTCATAAATCTCATATATCTTAGGAAATCAAGCAATTTTCTAGAAGATCTTAATGATTAGAATGGCCATCCAGTGAAACCAACAACTATGATTTGTTGAGATCTTAATTTTTATAACCCAGAAGATAGGCATTATTATCCTCCATTTCACCTAGCAGGACATTGAGACTCAGAGAGGTTAAGTTTCTTGACCAAGGTCATACAGCTAGTATGCGGTAGAGTCAGGTTTAGACCTAGGTCCTTCCAGCTCCAAAGTTCATGCTTCACCATGGCCTTCATTTGCCAAGAAGTAGCCAGAAAGCTGAGACTCAGCCATTCCAAAAATAAGAGGGTTGGGTAAAAGCAAACAACCACATTCATCACTCACTGCAGAACGGTTTCTGCTCGGCTGTGTCAAAGAACGCTTTAGTCATAGGAGGATCTTTCTTCCTTAAATAGTCTTTCCAGTTATCAGCATAATAGCCTATAAATCAAGTTGGAAAAGTGTAACATTAACATGTATTATATAAATGGAAAAGCAGTTGGGGAGGCAGTGAGAACAGCGAGCTTGACTGCCATCGCCACTGAGATCATCCCCCTCTCACGCATCCTCACAGTGAGGACCTGCAGGGCCACCAGGGCAGTGGCCCCCTAGCACCTACCACACCCTGCTCGCTACCTTGTTCGTAAGAGCTGGGGAGTGCAAAAGGACCCTATAGTGGCTTTTCTTCCTTTCTACTGACATTATGTCACCCAGCCCTGGTTCTCAGTAACAGGGGCGGGAGAGTGGGACAGACTATAAATAGTGCTGATATTTTTCAGTAATACATTTATTTTATAGGTTGAAGTAGATTTGGGTTTATACCTAGAATAGCATCACTTTATGCAAAACAGTATGCTTTCTTGAACTATCATCAGGCCCCTAAATTGCACAGAATCTGTACCCCTTTATGTGTGCCTGCAGGAAAGAGGTTGAGTACCATCAATGGGGGCTCTCTCTCTCCTCTGTCCCCACTCCTAGAAATGGCCTCCGCCTTCTAACTTAATTGATCTGGGGTTGGACCCAGGCATCAGTATTTTTTTAAAGTTCCTTAGTTCATTCTAATGACAGCAGACTATATAAGGTGACAGTGCTCTGGGTGGGCTTGGCAATTCTTCTGGAACCTTCTTTTTCATGCTAGAATAAAGTACCTAGGGAGGATGCACTATCTTCTGGACAAATTCCTATACAAATTGCTTTTCTAACACTATTTATTATTAGGAGACTCCAGAGTACATCATGGAGCAATTTGGCTAGAAAAAGCTGACTTTTAGATGTCTATTTATATAATACACATCTAAAAAATTTGTAAAAACTAAATATATTTCTTAAAAACACACTTTTCAGGCCCATTTTTAGATAGTAAAATGGTGTTGGGATGCCTACCAAATATTAGCTCTTTGTAAGTTAGAGAGGGAACTGATTGGTGGACTTACCGAGAAGTGGACAGGACTCCGTCTGTGGTGTACCGCAGTTGACACACTTGCCATTCCTGTAATCCTGGTAGGAATCACAGGGATATGCAGTGATAGTACAGTTCCCCCTCAAGGAAGAGAGGTACAGGTAGACAGACCTCTGGTGGTCACACTTAAAATACTGAAGTCCTGGGTTGTAAAAGAAATGATTAAATAATAGAGCAGTCGTGGCATTTAATAATAGTACATCACATATTGAATGCACAAAGGCGCATACAAACACAATTTATCATCTGTCTCCTATATGCCAGGCACTGTAGTAATAGCTTCAGTATATTCTATTCCATTTAATCTTTATAAAAACCCACAGATCAGGATTCATGCTGGCAAATGGCAGGAGAAAAGAAAAAGATAAGCACGATTATCCCCATTTTACCTAGCAGGACATTGAGATTCAGAGAGGTTAAATGACTTGACCAAGATCACACAGCCATTATGTGATAGAGTCCAGATTTGACCTACATCCTTTCTTTGTCAGTGAAAAGGGGAAGAAAAATTCAGTGGTAGCCAAAAATTCCTTGTTTTCAGCAGAATACAACTACATTTAAACTAGTAAAAATATCAGATAAAGAAGGCATCAGGGGGGCGATTGGTAGAAGAATATCCCCAAAGAGGTCAAGCAGAGGAGAAAGCCGTGAAAAAGAATGACGAATGCCTCCACCCTTGGTCAGGAGGGAACATGAATGTAAAGACCGACCTTGTGAACTAAGATGAGAATAGACAAAATTTTAAAACTATATAAAATAATAGTTGAGGTGGGACCTTGAACTAGGTACAAAAATCCACTCTAGCTCATCTCTAAGAGATGAGGGGTTATTGGTAGTGAGATATTTGAAATAGAAGCATTAGGAGTGATCATAGGGAGTCAGTAAGAGATAAACAAGAGGATTCTCTGGCTTAATTGAAGACCATGGAGAGGTTAGCAAGTTTGTCTGGACTTTGTACTCAATGGAGGAGGCTCCATGACTTCTCCAGAAGGTTCCCAAGCAAAGGTGGGGGCTGACACGGCAGAGACCTAAGGACCTGGGAGTGCACAGGGCATTTATGAGAGCAGCCAAGTGGCAGGGGATCCAAGTCTGCTACAAGGAGGAAGGGTGAAATGAGAGGGGTCAAGCAATAGGAGATGGCAATGGAAATCATAAATGGGCAAGAAGAGGTGAGAGGCAAGCCTCAAATTAATTCTTAGTGAGTGTCATGTGGTGTGATGGTGAGAGAGAAGGCTGATGAGGCACAGAGGTGGTATCAGAAGAATTGGAGATGATGGAGCACTGTAATATAGAAGATCAGAGAACTTGTCAGAAGGTTGATGGGTCAGATGATGAAGTTACTCAGAAAAGGGAACTGAGTCCCAAAGATGAGTAATCGATGGACATAATAATCTGAATAGGAAACAGCAAATCCCATGAAAAAGGAGCTATGATTTTGAACTAGTAGTTTGAAGAGGCACCAGGTGCTGGAGTCAGATCAATATTTCCTCTTTCTCTGGAGTCCTCTTACACCCGTAGAAAATATCAGTGAAGGACAAAAAGAAATAAACTGGGATAAGAAAAGAGAAGCATGGTGCTGGCATGGGGTCAAGCTGGACTGGAGTGAAATCTAACAAGCTAATATTTCTTATCATTCCTGGATCTTGCACTTGCAAAATTAATGAAAGTAGTAACAATGCAGAGGATGTCCTTTATAAGCAGAGGACATTATCTTTGACTGCTCATGGATGTATTTACACTATATCACACAGGACAGGATTTGAACACTCACCGTTTATGGTACAATATGGTTGGCCCTACTTATGTCATTTCATCAGGATCATTTTCAAACACTACATCATTTTCATGGGTCCACGTACAGCTACCATTTTGTAACAAGATCATCTTCTCCTAGTATTATTTCTATGTTTGTTTAACTTTCTCTAGCAATGGTGAAACACAGATTTAGAGCACTTAGGGATGGGTTTTTTCATTCTGTCCCCCATCTCACTTTTATGTTTTCCTCCAACTACCCATTTTTGTTTCATGAGTTTTTTTTCTCATTATAGAAGTAATATATGCTCATTTAGAAATAGAAAATAATAGAAAATAATGATGCAAAAAATCAAGAATGAGACCAAAAGCAAGAGATTACCACTAATAATTGTTTGGAACACTTATATTTAGTCTTCTTTTCTACACTTACACATGTACAAATACACATCTAAAAAATAAATTAAGATCATACTGTATAGTTTGTGTCTTTTTCACTTAACATCATATTGTAAGCATTTTCATTAATCTTGGAAAATATTATTTTTAATAATTATATTCCTTTGTGTGGATATACCATATTCATTTAATAATTTTCCTATGTTGGACATTTAGATTATTTCTAAAAATTTAACTATTATATATAACACTGGTTGAATATCTTTGCACTCTAATTTTTGTCTACATTTTCCATTATTTCTCTAAAAGAGGTTTCCAGATGTGAAATTTCTAGGTCAAAGACACACCTTTTCAAGAGAGAGAAATAATTTATAATAGTTTTTAATCATACAGTTACAGTTTTATAAAAGCAGTATATCTGAGTAATAATTCATAATTTATATTTATATCATCTCTGTCTTCCCTGAAAATTTGTTTTCTATTAAAAACTACCCCACATAGAATAATATTAGGTTTTTAAAATACACCTTTTTGAAACCACTATTTTATAAAATATGAAGTATCTGCACTTACCTCCAAATATTGTTTGGGGGCAACCAGGTTGATCTGATCCTCCATTTGGGTAGAAGTCTATGTTTCCTAATGGTTCCTTGTAGCCCAACGCTAAAAGAGAATATACTATGCTTTTATGCTGCTTGAAACTTTCACATCTCACAGCTCATTTGCCTGCAGGATATGGGCAAGGGTTGTATTATTATTGTCAATATACCTATTTAAATATTTTTGCCCAAAGTTATCCAGCTAGTTAGTTAGAAAGCAATGATTTCCAACTAAGAGACTATGAAGGTGGTAATGGAATTTATTTCCAATATTTCTAAAGATGTAAGAGAGTTTGGTCACTCGTTCACTGTAAGGCTGATAAAAGGATACATTTCTTCTTTACATTTGGATGGAACCTTCTAATTTCTGGGTACTTCTTGAGCTCCTATTTGCATTTGTGTAAGTCTTTAATTAATAAGAAACACGGGAACATGAACTTTTACCCAGTAGAAAATAAATCTTTAAAAATTTGGAATCTAGGATGGTAAAAAGATTGGAAAGTCTTCTAGAAAATGGGAACCTAAAGAATTTAGATAGATTTAACAGATTTGCTTATTCTCTTTAACCTTGTAACCCCAAATAATTAGTAAAAAGCTTAAAACGATTATATATGTAGACATATATAGTACATCATTATATCTCAATGGCTATTACATATTGAGAACTTACATATATCTGTGGGCATGATGCCAGGCGTTTTACACACCTTCTAATTTCACAGTGTCTGCAAGTAGACATTGGTAAATTCAGATGAAGTAATTTATAGATGAAGATACTGAAGCTCAGAAAATTTAAGGAATAAACATGACACCACTACAAAGATCATAATCTGGGTTTTGAGTCCACCTCTTCCTAACTACAAAGCTTATATCCTTCCCTTCAAAATTCACTTTCCAAGAATAAAAAATAAATTCCTCTATTCCGTCAGGCATTAAATGGCAGTGGGGTACTTCACTTCAGTAAGGTAACACTTTGCAAACTGCACAGTAAGAATACAGTTGTTCACACAGACATTTTTTTCTAAGGCAAACAATTGCTGACTACTACACCAGCGTGCCCAAGAAAGATGGTCAAGGGTTTTTATTAAGTGGTTGTGTCATAAAAAGATTGTGCAGATCACTCTAATCTGATCCCTCAGCCCTCTCCAAGTTCCTACTCCAGCACTTCTCTCAGACATCTGGTTATAAAGACTGATCTTTAACACCACCCCAAACCCCAAGACATATACCCAATCCCAGACATGAAATCAGCACCATGAAAGACAGAAATGAACAGGAAGATCCACAGAGAGCTGGAGAGCTATAGGTGGTTCAGAATCAATCAGTTGTAGAGAGATACAACACTCAAATATACCTTTTTAGCCTAAGGGAATAATGAAGAAGAACCAACAAAAACAAGAAATCTGCATCCAGATCCAGTTGTATATATGGAAACATTTGTCACATGGCGTGAAAACTGACCTGTCTTTGACTGATCAAGATGATCACTTAAAAATAAAAACAGGTGATGAGAAAAGCACCTCTACTCCAGGAAGAGACCCTGGATGCCTGCCTTAAACCAGCTTCCCTTCAAGATTTCTGTGGATTTTGGAACCCTGCCCCGTAGGAAAAGAGGGACTCTGGAGGAACCTGATCTGCCCCTGCATGACGATCCCCCCAGGGGAAGACTCCATGAGAGTCTTAGGGGTGGGTAACTGACCCACAAGGACAGGAACATTACCGTCAGTGTCAGAATGGATGACATCAACAAACTGTGCATCGCTGGGATCTAATCTGTCCTCGGGAGGTCTCCCGTTGAATAAAGGGCCCGCGGGATCGAGACCTGGAAGGAAAACAGAGTTGGCTTGGCAGCCCCACGCTGTGAGTCACCTGCAGCTGGGCTTTTCATTCCTCCCCTTGAGGATGGCTCACAGGCTGCAGGGCACCCTTGGGTGGGCGAGCACTTACATTCTCATCCTGCTTCGTCAGGCTACTTTCCACAGCCCTGTAGCCTTTTCCCACAGTAGAGATGGTTACTCTGGCAGTGACCCCTGAGAACAGCATTCAGACTCCATCAGGAGGTATATTTTGTGCAGAGCTCAACAGCAGAGAATGCACTGACATATGTAAACCAGAGTGTGGGGATAAACTGGTTCCTCAGGAAAAAAGCACCTAAGGGTGTACATAAAAAGTGGATGCTATACTTATCATTATCCTGTTTTAAATGATCCAGAAACCTCACTCAACCTTTTCTTCTTATTATTAATAAAGCTCCTTTACATTTTCAATTTTTATTAATATGTACTAGCTTATAAGCTCCACATCAGAAGCCTATGAGGGAGGCAGAGCAGCTACTATCATTTCCATTTTACAAATGAATGAACTGGGGTTCAGGGAGTTCAAGTGTCTTAACCAGAGACACAGCCTTATAATGCAATCACTTCTCTGTTGAGCTCTTGGTTTCATTGCCCTGATTTGGCAA